AGGCCTTTGTTCTATTTGAGTTAATCTGTGTGTGTGGTGTGAGAGAGGGGTCCCACTTCCTTCTTTCTCCTTGGATATCAAGTAATCCCTCATCAATCATTGAAGAGACTGTTCGTATGTCCATTCAATAGTCTTGGTCCCTGGCTGAAAACCAATTGACTGCAGAGGAGTAGGTTTATTTCTGGGCTCACCTTTCCCTCTGTCTTCATGCCAGTACCACGCTGCTTTAGGCTCTGCTCATTTGCCGTCAGTTCTGAAATCAGGAGTGAGAGTCCTCCCCCTTTGTTGCTCTTTTCAGCCATGCTTTAACTACTTGGATCTCTTGCAATGCTGTGTTAGTTTTAAGGGGAGTTTATCTATCTAAGCAAATTATAATATTAATGGCTGTTGGGACATGGATAGGGATGACATTGACCCTGTAGATCTCTTTGGGGCATGTCACCATCTTACCTATATAATTTCCCCATCCATGAACACAAGGTGTCCTTGCATTCATTTGGGGTCTTTAATGCCTTTCAAATCCTTCTGTAGTTCTCTATGTACAAGTACTGAGTCTATTAGTTAAATTTATTCCTAATATTTTTTAGAGATTGTTGTGTCTATGTTCATGAGAGATATAGGTCTCTTGTTTTCTTTTCTCGTGAGGTCTTTATCTGGTTTTAGCATCAGAGTAATAGTGGCCTCCAGGAATTACAAGATGCCATCGCCTCTTCTGTTGTCTGAAAGAGGTTAAAAAGAATTCATGTTCATTTTAACATAATTGGCTGGTGAAATTCACAATCAAAGCCATCTGATCTGGGATGTTCAACAGGGAGGTTTTTCATTATTGATTCAATCTTCTTATCCATTAATGTCTCTTCAGATTTTCTACTTATTCTTGAGTCAGTTTTGGGAGTTTGTGTGTCCATAAGAATTTATCCATTTCATCTAAGTTATATAATTTGTTGGTGCACATTTGCTCTTACTGTTATAATTCTTTGTAACTTCAGATTTCATATATGTGTATGTTTATACAAATCTATGCACTCAACACATATGTACATAAAATCTGAAGAAACAAAGAATTATTATATACATATATGTATGTGTATATATATGTATATATATATATACACATATATGTATGTGTGTAGTTATACTGAATTGGAAGTTACATATGTATACACATATACATAACATGATATATGTGATATACACGTGTACATACACAATATACACATATATATTCCTAACATAACTCTTCTTCTTCCCAGGACTCATAGAACTGTCCCTACAGGTTCAGGAACGAGGAGATGGCAATGTCACCTTGAGTCTGAATCAGGCAAAGATGCAGCTGAACTGGAATCTGGCACAGGAATCTTGTTACACAGGTAACATCTGAGATGGGGAGAAGGTGGAATGTCCACCTTACACCAGTACCATCCTGTTTGGAAGAGG